AGAAGGGGCACGGGACGCAGGGCTGAGGGCCAGCCCGGAGGTGCCAACACCACTCACGCCCGGCATCTCCCCGCACGACGCCAGTGCCGAGGTTTCAGACGCTGTCCCTGACCTGCCCTTGTCGGGGAGCACATCCCCTGGCTCCTCTTTGCACGGCTGGGGGCCTGTGATGACTCTTCGAGATGACGCTTATGTCAAAGCAGGTTCCAACAGAGAGGGGGACACCTGCAGCTTACCAGTGGGACACCCGTCAGCAGGTGCTAGCCCAGCCGTCAGCCCCCGACACCACACCGGAAGTCAAAGGGGCACCGGTAACCGGAGAGGTCCCAGCACCCTGGCCTGCCCCAGAAGCTGCCCCTCCAGCCCAGCGGGTGCCACCGGTGCAGGGGCGGCCCCAGGGGTACATGAAGACCCTCACTTGTGGCAGTGGATGCCACACCGCTGCCTGTGCTGCAGGGTCCATGGCCCGTGGTCCCCAAGGAGCCCATGGGTGCCCTGGGCAAGGCCATGCCATCTGGCTGTTGGTGGCTGTGGGCAGCATTGTCCTTGTCTTCGCCGGCCTCACGCCGTGCGAGGGAAGGTCCCTTCCCCACTTCTAGGCACCTCTTCCTCCAGTGTCTCCCAGAACTCATCCTTGAAGTCCCCAGCCCGGGGTGCACGTGGTGGGAAGGGGCTGTTCTTTGAGCGTCTTAATTTGGAAGCTATTCAGAACTTTCGTTTCTTCTCTGTCGGTTTGATCATTTATGTCTTCGAAGAAATTCAACCATTTCATCTGTGTGGCTTCATCCATGACGTGAAGTTGGATGTCATGTTTCTCTTTACCTTTTTTTAAGGTTTATTTCTTCAATTAAGTGAGTGGGGCAGACACAGAGGCAGCAGCGGGGGCACCACCGGCCTCAGCCCTGCGTCCAGGCGCCTGCCTAGGCCTCCCTGTGGGCCAGCCTCACAGGGCACCACGCTGTCCACCCCAAAGTCCTCCCCCTCGGAAGTTCTCCCCCCTTGGAGGCTTACAGAAGTCCTCCGGACACGGCGCTGTCACCACTAACCAACACCGCGCGCGGTTGGAACATTGGTCATGCGCCTCGGCTTCCTCCCCGGCCTTTCAGGGTCTAGCTGGGTATAGGGTGGGTGACGTGACGTGCAGTGGAGAGGGAGTGGACTGTGGCGTGAAGACCCTGGGGCGGGCCTCTCTCTCCCATAGAGGACATCAGTGAATGAACCCTAACACCCCACCGAGGGGCCAGCAGGTGGCGTGGTGGTTAAGGTGCTGGACCCACACATGGCCAACTGTGGTTCGATCCTGGATCTGGTGGCTTGTTTCTCACTTTCCCTCTCTCTCTCTCTCGCTCTCTGGTGAGTGCACATGCCCTGCAGAAAAATTTAAAAATATAACAGTAATAATAAATAAAATTATTAAAGAATTATTTTATTTAACTTTATTCGTTTATTTAAATTTGACCAGAGAGTGGAGAGAGAAAGAGAGGGAAAGTGAGAAAGCAAGCTGCCCCGCACACCCAGATTTCCGGGCAGGCCGCTAAGCTGACTGTGGCACTGGGTCCGGCCTGGCGGTGGGCGGTGACCGTGGCGTGGGGTCTGGCCCGGCAGTGCGCTTTGACCGTGGCACAGGGTCTGGCCCGGCAGTGGGCAGTAGTCTCTGTCACTTGCCAGGACCTGCTGTGGCTCCTTCCCTTAACGATGGAGGGTCATGGGCCAACAGGTGGAGGTGTTGACTGTGGAGCCTGCAACTTCAAACTCATGCCGGCGCGTGTGCGTGCATGCCCAGAATTCTGAGAGAACGGAGAAGGGATTGCACCGCGGCCATCCCCCGGGAGGCGATTTCTCGCTTCCTGTCTCTGTTGCTTTGGTGAGCGCACATGCCCTATAGCAAAAATCTCTCTCAAAAGGAAAAAGCATACAAAGTCAGGGACCCTTGGCGACCATCATCCTTTCCTATCAAGTCAATCTACGCTCCTGTCTTCCACGGGAAGATTATAATATCCGACCGAAGACGAAATCGAGTAATTACACCTTTTAGCGCACCTGACAATTCTTACCCAGCTGGTACTAACAGTCAATCAAAATGCCAAGAAAGGAGCTTCAGAGTGTGCTAATGACTCGTGGCATGCTGGAAGGCGCCATGAGACCCAGTCAGCTCTCGCTCAGCCTGACAGCTCCTCTCCAGAGCCCGGCCCCTCTCCAGAGCTCAGTCCCTCTCTGGAGCTCAGTCCCTCCCCAGAGCTCAGCCTCTCTCCAGAGCACAGCGTCTTTCTAGAGCTCAGTCCCTCTCTAGATCATGGCCCCTCTCCAGAGCTCAGTCCCTCTCCAGAGCCCAGCCCCTCTCCAGAGCTCAGTTCCTCTCCAGAGCCCGGCCCCTCTCCAGAGCTCAGTCCCTCTCCAGAGCTCAGTCCCTCTCCAGAGCTCAGTCCCTCTCCAGAGCCCGGCCCCCCTCCAGAGCCTGGCCCATCTCCGGAGCTGTGCGTCTCTCCCTAGGGCTTGGCTTTTTTGCCCACAGCTCAGCAACCCATGGGGCTCTCAGCCTAGTGCTGCCTCCCCAGGGACACTCGCACCACGTAAGGCCCTGGGGTCTTGTGCATTTCATGCTCGCCAAAGCCCGCTGAGTGGCAAACCCATGACAGCCTCCGGTGGGCTGGGAGCCAGAGCCTGCCGGGGCATCTGTGCTGTGTCTGCAGACGATTAAGATGGTCCTGCTCCACAAAGGACGGACGGCAACGTCCTCTTCCTCTGACCAGGTGGACAGCCAGCTTGCTCCTGCCATGGGACCTGACACGGGCCCACCATCGCAGTCGCCCTCCACTGCCCTCGCTGTGTGGCTGCTCGCGCTCTGCCTCGCCGGATACCCTGCTGGCTATGCTGGCTCCAGAGGCCCCACACCTCCTGCTGCACCGCCACCTGCGCATTGCCCCTGGTGGGATGCAGCACCAGGACGGCCCAGACCCTCGGCAGCAGCTGGGGTCTGCTCACTGGAGTGGGCACAGCAGGCCCTGCTGCTGCGTCCACCTGCGTCCTGCCCCCAGGAACCCTGGCCCCAAGCAGAGAAGTGGCGGGAAGCAGCCTGTCAGCCCTGAGGCTGGGAAGGGTGTGCTTCGGATGGCAACATGCACACGTGGGCCTTGAGGACCGGTGCTCATGGGTAAGACCACCAGGGGTCTGGAGGAGTGTGGCGTCCCTGTCACCTGCCATCCTCCCGGGCCACCTGAGCATGCTCGAAGTACCCACCCTGCCCTTGCCACTGACTACACATCCTTGGGGCGGGAATGCGGGGCAACAGCCAGCACACAGTGGACGGCGGGGGGGCAGCTCGGGACAGTCTGCCCGGCCTCCCGGGAGGTCCAGGGACCTCTGTAGGGTCTCCCACTTCGGTGCCCACCCCCGCAGCCCATGCAGCAAGCGCTTGCTGTCAGACCACCGGTCTGAGCAGCGACAGGGAGTCAGGGACGTGCACGCCTCCAGGAGCCCACCCGGGGCCCAGCCCTTCCTGGAGCAGGCACTCGCATGGCCTGGCGTGAGCGGTCACTGGCTGACGCACGCGTCACTGGCTGACGCACGCAGGGGGCGCAGCAGGAATGGCCACAGCGTGGGGTGGTGGCCCCATAGCCAGGCCCAAGCCCGACACAGGGCAGCTGTACCGAGAGTGGACAAGAACTGGCCCAGACAGGTGCTCGGAAGGACCCTGGTCACCAAGAGCTGTGACTGGGGTGCCTGGCAGGGACGTGGGAAGCCCCGCCTCCGCGAAGCCGGCCTGGAGCTGGTCACCATGCCGTGCAGACGGCTCTGGGTCAAGGCCAGGCGGGAGGGAGAGACCAGGCCCAGCCACAGTGCAGGCGAGGGCGGGAGACAGCAGGAGCCCGGGACGCCCGCCTGTGCGTGGTGACTTGGCAGGCGGGGCTCTGCACGGTGCCCTCTGCCGCTGCGGCCCACGCCCACCCCTCCTTGCAGCGGGAACCAGCCGATGCTCCGAGCGCATGGCCCTGGGCCTCCACGTCGGAGCGTGGTGCTCTGAGACGCTCTAGAGCCCAGACCGGGTCGTCTTAGCAGAGCTCAGGGTAAGGGGAGGGTAAGAGAGGTGGCCAGATTCGGCCTGTGAGGCGGCCGAGGTCCCGGGCCAGCCGCTCCTGGCTTCGAGGTTCAAATCCAGGAGTGGGAGGCGACCGTGAGAACTACAGAGCAGTACGGCGCTGCCCTGCTGTGCAGCCAGGGCCCGTGGCCTGAACCCGGCCCCACGGCCCGCTGGGACAGGCTCGTTCCAGGGAGGGACAGAAAATCCAGATGTGCTGGCCATGGCGAGACATCCGAACCCCGAAGTCCGGACTCACACAGAGCCAGGTAGAGGCAGGCGGCCCTCTGGGTGTGGGGTACGGCTGCGCGCGTGCCCTGTGTCACCTCGACTGTGGCCGGCTGGCCAATAGTGGCATCTACCATTCTTTTCTTTTTTTCATTGCCAGTGTGTTCTCTTTAGAGACAGAGAGACATGGAGATAAAGGGAGAGGGCAACCCTGATGGGGTGTGGCATGTGCCGACCCTTCTCCACCTGGGATCGGGACATGCACGCACACGTGCCCAGCGTGGAGCCAGGATTCAAACCCTGGTCTGCCATGTGGCAGATTCTCTTAACCACCGGGCCACGGGGCTGGCCCTGGCTTGCCGCGTTTACCGTTTCCTTGAAAAGTCTCAGACATTCAGCAACCACAAGGCAGGCTGGGAGAGAAGGCAGCGGCTCGAACGGCTCACGCTGAGGGTCCTTGTGAAGTGGACTCAGTTGCGTTGTTCCCACAGAAAAGTGGAGACGTGGCCAGAAAGCCAGCGGGTTTCAGATACCTGAGAGCAGGCCATGGGACGGGGAGCATGCGGTTCAGGCCTGGCCGCAGGGAGGGCCGTGAGCGCCGGTCGTGAGGGAGAGGCGTCTGGCCACCAGCACTGGACCAGCACAGTGGCAAGGGCCGCGGGCACTTTCCAGATGTAAGAAAGAAAGTTCTACTCACTGCTCCGAGCATGATCCTGAAAATCAGCCATCGGAAGCCCCACAGCACGATCTGGGACGGGGGCGTGTGCCTGGGCAACTGGGACAGCGTCCAAAGGGGACAGAGAAATATCCCCAGGAATCCAGTCTCCAGGAGCTGCGACTCCCACCCTGGAACGGTGACAGACACGAAGGGTGCGTTAACAAGGCCACGGCTTTGCTTCGCCAAGAACTCACCCCCAATCTCGGTTCACCAGGAAGTGGGACCGGCCCACGCTTAGTCTGCACACCCACGTGTGTCTCTGTAGGAGACGCGAGGACAACCTTAGGGCGCAGAGGTCTGGGCCTTTCCCTGGGGGAAGCCCTGTCAGAGCATGCCACGCCATCTGCCGCCTGCGGAGGGCGCCACGTGGACACGAGCTGTGGCCCAGGCTCGGACCACCTGCCGGCGGGGCCTCTGGAGGGCCTTTCCATGTGGCTGGTCTCACGCACAATCGCAGGAGTGCTCGCCAGGACAGAGGCAGGCACTACGGCGGTGACGTCACTGGGGGCTTGGTCGGCTCCACCCCCCCAGGGGAGGGAACCGGCATACCCGCGAGCGGGTGCGGTGGAGAGCAAGACACCGCTCCATCGGATCTGACGGCGCGCTCAGCCGCTCTGCCGATGGCAGGTGCCAGCGGTCTCTCCTCCACGAGAGCAGCCGTCCAGTCCTGTCCTTGTGGGGACACAGGCGCCCAGTACCACTGGGAGGCCTCCCTGTCCGACGTCCGTCCCAGAGGTACTGGGGGCTCCACCACCAGTTACCGACCGGCTCTACGGACGCAGACCCACTCGAGTGTGACCCAGACCGGGTGGGCCACACAGGGCAGAACCTCCGAGTTGGGCATGTGTGTGGGTGTCTTTACTCTGTGCACACATGTGCATTATGCACATGTGCCACATATATGTATGCACATCCATGTCTATGTGTGCATACATGTACATGTGTGAGCGTGGTCTATGTGTGTGCATGTTTGTCACCTACATGTGTGCAGCCCGTGTGTGTGCAAGCGTACGAGTATTATCTACACACACGTGCATGGTCTATGTGTGCACATGCATGTGTGTGTGTGTGCATGGTGTGGGTGTGTATGGTCTATGTGTGTGTGTACTTGCACACGTGTGTGGTATCTGTGTGTGCATGTGCACAGTCTACGTGTGTGAGGTGTGCACATGCATGTATGAGTGTGGTCTATGCACGTGTGTATGCCTGTGCACAGCACCCATCTGCCACCAGAGGGCCGAGGCTGCGGGCTCAGGAGACAGACCGGAGCCCATGGGCTGGAGATGCCACCATCGCAAGACCCGGGGCCGCGCTCACATGACCGCTCAGGCTGCCACAGAGCTGCTCCGGGCATCGCAGCCCTGGCAAGGAGCCCGTGCCCATCACACACGCAAGGCTCAGTTCCACAGCGATGGGGCTCAACCTGTGTGCAGCCAGCGGCACTTTGGGTGGCGTGTCTGCGGAGCCTCTGGCCGCGACAGGCACCAACATGTGCAGACTGGGCAGCGAGGGGACAGGGGCAAGTGGCCTGCCGCCACCCCAAGCTGTGCCTGCGGCAGGCGGAGGTCTCGACTCCCCTCCATACATGACCGGGTGCTCGTCATAAGGTGTGCGAGTTCCAGGGAGCAGGGGCGCACATGCACTGTGGCTGCGTGTGCACGCTGGGATCCGGGGTCGAGGAAGCGTTGTGAAGGCCGTGTGCCGGCTTGCCGTGTGCCGGCCTCCTGTGGCCTGTGCAGGTCAGAGAACAGGAGCGGGGCGGCCAGGCGGGGACATCACGCACACAGCCGTGATCAGACTGGCCACAGGGACCTGGTGTGGCTGGGGGGGGGTGGCGACGCCACCCGGGGCTGAGCCAGCAGCTTTTGGGAGACGCTCCCTGAAAGTGGGCCTGCCTGCCCCTTGCTGGGCCCGGCTGGGTCGGGGTCAGCGTCGGGCAGAGCGGTGGTCAGGCTTCCCTGTGCGAGTCACTGCGGAGGCCAGGCCACTGTGCTGAGATGCCCCGGGGTGCGTCAGCTCCAACTTCGCAGCCGCGGTTTCAGCCCCTCTGCGGAGCGATTAAATACAGCGCAGATGGAGCCTTCAAAGATGACAGCGCCGTCCCGTTAAGTAGGAAACCCGTCAGCCCCGCCGTCAAGAGCAGGGGCGGAGCAGCGCTCCCTCCTGACCGGCTGGCCCCGCCCGG